AAAGACCCCAGAGCAATTGGCCAAATGTTTTCCAATTATGGCACAGAGTATTCCTCAGCATTTGCTTCCATTACTTATACAAAAAAGTGAGTACCCATACGAATGGAATGATCCTGAGCACTTCACAAAAACAAAGCTCCCATCAAGAGAGAAATTTAACACAGTACTAGGCGGACTAAATTATTGCAGGAATGGGTATAAAAAGTGCAAACATGAAATAAAGAGTAAAAAGTGCAATAGAAAATGTAAGGAAGGGGATTTAAAGGAGGTCAACGATTGTGAGCATGAAAAAATTTACACCATCAGTCAAAAGCAATATGACCATGCGCAGAAAGTATGGGAGGAAGCAAAGTGTGAAACATTCGGGGACTATCATAATTTATACCTCAGAACCGATGTTTTAATATTAGCGGACTCAATTCAGCGTTTTCGAATAACAATGAAGGAAGTATCCGGACTAGATCCTTTGAACTATATAACATTACTATCATTCGCATTTGATATGGCAAAAAAGATGACTAAAGTCAAGCTCAAATTAATCCATAAGGGGCAGGAGAATATGCATGAGTTCATTCAACGTTGGATGCGAGGTGGAAATTCTATAGCGCCACGTCGTATAGCAAAAGCCAATTTTCCAGGAATGAAAGGTTATGATAAGCGAAAAGCCAACAAATGGCTTCTTTATCTAGATGCTAATAATTTATATGGATGGGCTATGTCTCAATATTTGCCAACAGGAGGATTTAGATGGCTTGACATAAACAACTTGCCCGATATACGGTTTATTTCACCAACTGCAAAACGAGGCAGTGCTTGGGAAGTAAAATTAAGATATCCGGAAAATATTCACCCAACACATAGTGACTATCCGCTCTGCCCAGAACGTCGGGTAGTTAAGCGAAGTGAGCTTAGTTCATACCAAAATAATGACCTAATTGATAAACTGAGTAGTGGAAAATTTGTGGAAACAGAAAAATTGGTAGCAACTTTAGAGACTAAAGATCGCTATATTATTCATTACTGAAATCTCCAACAGTGTCTTGAACTAGAGATGGAACTTGTGCATGTATACCGTGTATTAGAGTTTGATCAATCTCCCTGGCTCGAACCATATATTACAGCAAATACTATACGGTGTCGTGATGCAAAAAATGTATTCGAAAGAGATCTATGGAAATTAATGAACAATGCAGTATTTGGAAAAACTATGGAGGATGTTCGGCGTCGTATACAAGTAGATTTAGTACGACCAATAGGAGAGGAGCATTGACTTCGTAAAATGTTGGCAGACCCGGCACTAGTTGACGTAAAATATTTCATGGAAGTAATCTTATAGCAGTCCATCGGAGGCTAACGAATATTGTACTTAACAAGCCAATCTATATCGGGGCTTCAGTTTTAGATCTTAGTAAATATTACATGTATGATTTCTGGTATAATCATATCAAGCGTAAGTATGGAGATTGTGCAAAATTATGTTATACCGATACAGACTCACTAATTATCGAAATTGAGACTGAGAACATCTATGCTGATATGATTGAAGATGCGGAGCTCTATGATTTCAGTGATTATCCTGAAGACCACCCATTACTTGAAAAACTTCCTCCAGATCAATGGGTATATCTTCCCAATGGTTCACGTGAGCTAAAAAATAAGAAAGTGATCGGGAAGTGGAAAGATGAGTTTGCAGGAACTCGAGCATTAAGATATGCTAGAAACCGATCAAAGTCTTATGCATTGGAAACTGAAGATGAGTATAAAAATATACAGAAGACAAAGGGTCTCAAAAAATCTCTTGTCAAAAAAGAACTAACTATTGATATTTATGAGCGTTGTATTTTAGAAGGTGTGGAGAATGAACCTCGAACTGCAAACTTCTTGTGATGTGAACATTTCGTTCCATATATAATCCGCCAGACAAAAAGGAATATCAACCCACTTGACTTCAAGAGATGGATATTAAATGACCGAGTAACGACATGGGCAATTGGGGATTGTTGAATTCCGGCTTATCTATCTGCATTGGAGCAATATGGGAATAATATTTCTCAAGAAATATTGATGGGTTTGGGTTTATAAAAGATGAGCTCGACTATTTCATATAATATAATAATATTTTTTTTCTAGATTTTTTTATTTATAATTTAAACTAACCATTTTATTATACAACAAAGACTTAGTGTTAGCATACAATGACAGAAAATACCCCAGCGAGTAATATTATATGGAAAAGCATTGAGGAGGCGCAACTTAAGATAATAAGAGAAGCAATACATATTTGCTACAAAAAAGATAGCAAGCTAATTAGTAAATATGTCACATATGTAAAAAATTTGCGTCAAGAGAATAATCCTGATGAATATATAAAATCAACTGCTATTATGTTATTTCCAAATGAGGATGCCTATGAAAGAAGAATGAGTAGATATCGGAAATGGTATCAAGGTAAGAAAGAACTTCTTGCTAGTATTGAAAATTTATACAGCCTTTACTATACTTTATCTAAAGAAGAGCGTCCTATGACAGAAGAAAAAATTAGTAAAACAATAGAAGAGCTAATAGCAGATGAAGGTGAATATTAATTAAGTACCTATCTTGGGGGCAAATCGCAATGCATAATTAGCATCAATTCCTCTCTTACAAATGAACGTTCTGGACTATCTTCTAACCAATATAAAACGGGTTGATTTTTTTGTACAAGAATTCTTCGAATATTAAAAATTTCAGGAATCCAATTCATATCAGTAATTCTTTTTTTAGCAGGACCATGTTCTAGTTCGCCAGGCTTAAGAAGATATCTCACTATGTCATAATAGGATAAACAAGGTTCATCATATCCAATAGGTCTCCTATGTTTTATAGCTGGTTTTGCAATTATCTTTTTCCCTTTTAATGCCTTTTCCACAGCTTCATTAGGAGACATATCTATCAATCAGGTTGGAGTATTATTAAAGATATCATCATTAATATGAAGACTTCTAACCCAATCTCTAGATCTTTCAGATAAGGGAAGTAAAAAATCCTTTGCATCTTGCTGGATATAGGCATGTTTTTCAAACTCTTGGTGGTCACATTCAGCTATAGCATTGTTTTCTTTAGAATTAGCATATTGTATTTTCACATTATGACTGAGTAATAAACTCTTACAATCCCCATATATTCTGTTCCCCTATCCGAAATAAAACAACTGGGCCAAGAAATTGGTTCATTAGGATCATTATAAATTTTTTGAATCGCTTTAGCCATTTGTGCTGAAGATTTATCAGTCAGTGCGAAACTATGTTGGTATCTAGTTGCAACATCTTTGATAACACCTCTATACTTGTAAATCCGATTACCAACTTTATCATGAGGCATAGGTGTAGTATCAGATTGATGCACTTCATTTAAAAAATGTATATTGTTAAAAGAAGCATACTGAATAAATTTAGGCCGAGGCTTATGAATCTGATGTAAAGCCTGTCGGTCTAACCATTTTTTATTTCAACTGAAGTAAACTCATACCCAGCTTTCTTACAAGCATTCTGCATTTTTTCAACAGTTCGATAATAGCCTTCAGGTCAGTAATAGAGCTTCTGCAAAGTAAGATCCTGATCGAGATCACGTGCTCTCCGGGGATCAATATAAATAACCGGTTCCCCATTTTGATTCTCTTTTATATATTTAGCGATTTCTGAATCATATAAATTATAGAAAATAAAAAATATGGAGAAATTACAACAAAGTAATCAAGAACTCCACGAGGTAGTATCCCAATTAGCAGAATCAAATAGGAATTTCGAACAACGATTATATACCTTAGAAAAAATTATTGGTATACGGGAAGAAAGAATTCGATTTCTTGAAGAAGAGTTAAATAATGCTATCGAACTTTCTAAACAAGACAAAGAAGAATTAACAGAAGAAATTTCAAAATTAAAAAGAATTGTCCAACAGCTCGAAGAAAAAAATAAAAAGAAAGACAAAGAAATTTCCAATAAAGATAAATTGATATCAGAATTCGATGAACGTGAAACCAAATTAAAAACCCGAATACGAGAAATATCAAAATCTGCAGGTAATACCCCCAAAGCACAAAATTATACAACCAGATTAGTGGACGAGAATGAACGTCTTAAACGAGAAATAAATACGGTAAAAACTAATCAAATAAATAGGATTAACAAATTAGCCCAACAAAAAAACCATATCACAGATCTGCTTTGTCAAAATTTTGCATTAACATTATTGAGATATAGAGATAGGTTAGAGCTTATAAATACAA